GGCTAGGTGGCGAATGGTAAAACCAATGTTGGGCATTGCTGGAAGAGCTTTACTTAAGGCGAACTATCAAGGGGTTCCCATAATAGCCCAACCGCGTAAGGGACGCAAAATCCGGGAACATAACACCGATATGACGGAAACTAGGGCGGCAAGAGTGGAACAAATCACCAGGCATAAGGCCGAGCCTTCCACCCTTTACCAAGTATATAGATGCATTAAGATAACATAGCAGTATAATGATATCCCAACAAGTAAATAAATGTTCCAACAAGGAACGGCCTCCAATCTTCACCTGCAACTGCAACGCTATAAGAGGGGCTGAGCAAAGCGGTAACATAGCCAATCAATGGTTTGCTAGGACAGGGTGTGTTAGAAGTTCAACATGGCAATTGGGAGGCTGACAAGCAAAAGGTAGGCATCGGAGCATTGGCATAGCAAAAGAGCGAGCAAACTAGCATGGCAAAGATAGTAGTGATTTCGAGGGTATGATCATCTTGCCTGAAATCCCGCAAGGAAGAAGAACGAGTCCATGAAGAAGACAAACGGACGTAGTCGAACGAATCCTCACAACACGACGTTACCGGAAACAACCCGAAGACGCAACACCGGAAAGAAGTAAACAACATAGTAACCAACCAACACAAGAACATGGCATGATGCACAATCAAGTATGATGCATGTCCGGTTTAATGAAGCATGGCATGGCAATATGCACAAACAATACTACAAATTAAGTGGAGCTCAATATGCAACGAGTTGCATATTGACGGAGCACCACATCAATTATTTAGTTCGATCTCGTTTATGTACCCAACAATATTAAACGTTGTTAAACATGGCAAGAGAGTGAAGCAAAGCAAAACTACCTATCTAGTCAAGTTTAAATGAGGCCGGGAACAACAAACAACAAATTCCGGTAAATCCCCATATGTATATTTTAGATTAGGTCCTGTTCAGCCCTAAACACAATTTTAGGGTTGTTAAACATGCAAAGTAAGGCCACCATGATAAACTAGGCAAAATTCTACCCCAATTACATATAAAGTTTATTAAATTCGGAGTTACGGTTATTTAGTTATGAATCAAATCATTTTAGCATGGCATAGGAGCAATTTTAAACAAACATCATTTTAAACATAGATGAAAGTTGGATATTATTAATCTACACAAAATTCTGAGCAAGTTTCATATATAAAACATTTTAATTCGATGCACGGTTAGTGAGTTATTAAATGCATGAACTAGGGGGACTATTCTGCAAAACTGACAATCTCCTGGAAAAATAGGAAAATGCCAGGCGCTGAAAAAAAACATGGCATGGGCAGAAACAAGCTGGCCCAACAGGAGGAAAAAAACAGAGGCGGGGCGCTGGGTGCGGCTCACCCATGGGCTTCGGCCCAGCTGGAGGGGAAGCAGGCCGGCACGGAGAGAGGGCAGGCCGAGGCGGGGGCGGCGCGCTGGTCCGGACTCGGACGCTGGGCCTGGGAGGCCAAGGCGGCCCACGCGAGCGAGGGAGGCGGCCCAGGCGAGCGAGG